ATTTAGCTCGTGCCAATATGTACTGATATAATATTCATTAAACCCCCTCAAACTTGCTCCTTATTATACCCAAAAACTCTAAATTAACGACCGGGACATATTGATAATTCATTTGATCAGATGAAGGTGCTAACTTATTGTCCGACTATATCAAGACAATCATTATCTTGTTGAATGAACTAAAAGTACAGTTTTACATCAGGTACAATTGTTCTTCTTTTGGACGTGTGCCATTTAATTTATTGCGGCCAGGCCAGCGTTCCGGAACTTATATGAGGAATTTTTTTAAGGAATACGTTTTTTGAGAAAGGCAAATAAAAAGCATTAACCATAGTTTGCTACTAGCATTTAAGATAAGAACTGGAAAGTCAAAGGAATACCGCAAATAGTTTGAGTAATAAATATGAGGCAACATCTAGTAACAAATCGATATTTCAATCTGAGATACTTTAGTATGCTAAAAAACATTTAAAGAACACTTAAAACTTAATTTGACCGACTGCAGTAAATTGACCTTTCAACAGCGAAATAAAAGCGAATTTTTGGGGATTCGAACCTCAAGAACAATTAGTATTTTTATGGTACATGATTAAGCATAAATTTCGGAAATTTTTGAAATAAAAAATGAACTGTAATTTATAATAAAACGTTCTCTTGGCACTTGAGAACGCTAACAGGTTTCACGAGCAAGTATTCCCCTCTTTATTAAATACCGATACTTAAATAAGTAACAGCCCAAAGTCATGAATTTTTTGCATTTTATGCCTAAATATTACTTCGGTGGGCAACATTATCAATTCTGCCAGGATATCCTCTTAAAATTATCAAGAGGTGTCTTATTCCACAACATCACTGTGACACAGCGATACTGTTCTCTGAAGACTCTGAATTAGATTACAATTATAAAGAAAAATAACACACTTATCGTTGCAGTAGACCATTATTATATACAAAAGATATCATGCCAGATTGCTAGTAGTAGTAGGAGTTGGCCGTTGGGTTAATGTCTTGAATTATCTAAAGAACACAGTCTCGAGGCTAGACTTTTGCTATTACGACAATGAATTATTGAAAAGGAAGACAGATCATCTGTCGACGATCATTGATCGTTTTAGTTTATTCGATAAATATTCAATAACTACTTATTATATAAATATATATACTTACTGTATATACTACATCTTATTAGCTTCGTCGAAGATATGCGTCAACGTAATTCAAATGCACGAAACTTAAACCTCGCGAATTATTTATTATTAAGGTCTTAAGGCAAACCCTGGCCCTGATTTCAAACGAAGCTGAGAATGTTTTTTATAATTTATTTACCTACCTTCTGTAAACAATTATAACGGTTCAGGATAGCGGACTTATAATTTAATTTTAATCCTGTGTAATCCACTAATCCTATGTAATCCTGTGTAATCTTGTGTAATGCTGCGTAATCCTGTGTAATCCTGTGTAATCCTGTGTAATCCTGTGTAATCCTGTGTAATCCTGTGTAATCCTGTGTAATCCTGTATTCTTGATCTTAACCTAGCTACACATCAAGAGCTTGACGTAGAATATGGCCTATGGAAGATATATAATATTGGACTCAACATTATAGTTAGTCACCCTTGACCCTCCACCCAGATAACATTTAACCCAAAACTAACTCCTAATATTATTTATGTACATTGCACACGCGTGACAAAGTTCTGATTGCTTTGTTCTCCAATACCTATCTTGTAGCCACAGAGCTGATCACCGTAACCATTGAATTTGCATTTTGTTCCTTCTTTTAGCAACACTCATTGTTCCACAGCTCTATTATAAATGTGCACGAGTATGCTGACTAACGAGCTGAATCTTCCAACCGCTAGCCTCGATGAGTTGAGGCATTAATATTCAATATTAGGACGCAATGAAACTATATGCGTGCCTAGTCCAACCCGTACCCTACATAACTATTACTGGATTAGTGAGAGATACTCAGCTGTGGACAGCATGACAATCAATGAATCAACGGTTCCATTTATAAATCGTCTCAGCATAAAATTGTCTCCAATAGACACCGACGGATCTCGCAATGTGAAGGATAAAATCGATTAAATTCGTTGTGCCAGAGCTGTTTGCCACAGATCGGCCTGGAGGGCACAGTTCAATTAAAAGTAGGTTACTATCTTGTTCGATACAGCCATTCGAGAATTTGGTTGAAACGCTGCAAACTGCAAAGAGCGTCTTAAAATATTTTGGTGGCCCTTTCATCGCACAAAGTGAGTGGGCTTTTGAACTATTTCCAATTATTTGACTAGAGCAGTCATTGAGGGGGGGGGGGGGGGGGGGTACCACTTTCATTACATCAATGGTAAAATCAACATAAAAATGGCCATGAATAGCATCGATGATCAACCTTGTTATGACAAATATGATGTTGTTGAGACCTTGAACATACTTCACAGCAGTGGCGTAACGAAGGGCCCGCCGACCCCGCTATGCGCCATCTTAGGGGGGCGCCAAATCGTCATTTGAATGTGGGACAACTTGGAAAACTTAATTACGTTACTAGCAAAACTGCGCGTTTTTCTCTAGAACCATACTTTTTCAGAGATTTTACCGATGTATCCTCTAAAATCATCTAATTTGTTCAATTTTAGAGATGGGCGCCAAAAGGGGAGGGGGGCCAACGAGCAACGTTACGCCACTGGTTCACAGATAAACAGGAAAGGGAATCATTGAAAACACGAAAGAGCATGTTCATTGAGGAAACACTGTGATTAAATACGAAAGTCAGTGATACTATCAGAAAATTGCAAATGGTTAATAAACCAACCTAAGACATTTCTAGCTGCGTTTCGTCGCTTGCGCTTGGCTAAACATTCTGTACGGAAATCAGTGACTGCAGATCTATGATAAAATACTACGATACGCTGAATCAAATTTAAAGCAATTAATAAATTTGCGTTTGTTACCAACAATACAATGACTGAGAAGGTCAGTTCAACACCAGGTGTTATCTGACCTTTGTAGTTCGATAATTTAACAATGAACATAATATACTCTATTTCCTCGATTTCATAGCGACGCAGAGATTGTTGAGAATTACGAAAAACGAAAAATAGGATGACTAGATAATAAGTCTCTAACATTAAAGACCCAAATCTGGTTTGGTCCAAATCGACTCGAATTGTGAGAACAAACGAGCGTTCAATGAGTAAGCGCTCGATTCTAATATTCCTAATATGGATAATTCTCGTTGTTCTCTGGGCCATTTTCTGCGCTTACAATGTACAGACAATTGCAATGCGCGCGCTATATACGTAATACTTTAATATAATATGAGTTTTACATTTTATGCATGTAACATTATGATTCAATGAATTCAATAGGAACTAAACATATTCGATATAGACATTTTATAAATTATCAAGCATTGATTAATTTTCCAAAAACATTTATTTTTGATAAATTGTATGCATTTTTAAATTTAATTAATTTACTGTAATATATTTTTTAAAGACAAAGTGCAAGGCCAACTAATTCAATTTAATATTTTTGCTTATTATGATGTAATTTATCATTTATTATTTTATCATTTGTTCGATAGTCGATAGTTATTGCGCTGTGCCGCGCGGCGTAGTGATTAGTAAGAACATTTGATGTTTTATTTGAATATACATCAGCAAAATCGAGCGCTTTTGCTCAAACTTTTAGCGGGACATTGGTATATATAACTTTGTAACTTCTTATTTTTTACCTAATTTGCATGTGGGCGGTCGTACAGAAATAATTGTTTGAATTATAGTAGAGATGCATTAAATCAAGTGATGCAAATGGCCGAGCACAATTGGCAGAGCACAAGCTTTGTGGGATCCAGCTGCGGCTCATGGAACTTGCAGGGGATTGTCTTGGAGCTGGTCAGCTGGAAAGTGTCTAAGAGGTAGTTTACCCGTCTGACCAATGAGGTTTGGGTACTTTCCATTCAGCCGTGGTGACTTAACCAGTTGTTTACTGATTATGGATCGGTATATATTCGGAATAGCAGGTCTGTCTTAATCTTGTTTCAAGCAACATATGTAGTGTAACTTAGATTAAATAATCTTCAGAAGTTGTTCTTCTCTGGAGTGAGTTATTTCTTTCTGAAGGAAAGATTTCATTAAGAGTTTTGAATTTCTTAAAATGTCTATCTTAGTCAATACTGAATGGTCCCGGAGAAAGTTTTAGAAGTTTGAAAATAAGGTTAGTCGGTTTTAAACTTACAACCAGTAGTCGACAGGCTCAAAGAAGCACTAAGCAATTGCGCTCACAACTCTGCTACGCAACCTTAACATTTCGGTGGCTGACTTATCTAAGACTTTAAAACATGTCTGATCTTGAAATTTCTCCTCTAGAAGGATTACATGCAGTGAATAGCATGAAGCGTTAACTTTGTCAAAGTAACTTCTAATATCCGGTTTTTTAATATAGAGTTTATGTGTGATTTAAGTATTATTTACAGCTGAGCATAAGGGTTAAATTTAAATTATTTAACCTTTTGGTGCTGTATAAAAATAACATTAATTTATTGTTATTGTTATTATGAGTATTGCTGTAGCACTAGATAGTGGTCCACTACAGACCGCCTCCAGTTGATTGATGTCTGTTTACATAGCTAGGCTGTTGAGAATTGCATGTTAAATGTGCACGGTTGCAACTGAGTTGGATTAGTGACAAAGCTATAATATTGTTTCCTGTTCAAAATTATGTACTAATGTAAATTCATTTAGTCACACTGTAGGTTCATTTTGTTGCCAATTTACCCCATTTGTAGATACCACGCCACTTGGAGCTGCTCAAAATATGATAATAGTCCAAAAAATTACGTCCTCTCTGTTGCAATCACATCATTCATCAATCTAAAACTCTCACACCTGAACGTAAAGCTTACATTCCGGCGATCGTATTGTCTTTTTGCCAAATTTTCCCCTGCGCCACTGAAACATTTCCACAAACTTATCAAGATCTTTAAAATCCAGGTAGTTATGGATCAAGTGTTTCTCAGTTTCTCCTTAGATGAACAGCCCATCACTAGAGCTGTCAGTTCGTCACACTGTCAAGAACTACTTGAACAGGTCAGTCTCTTACATTATGGTAAGTCAATGTAATTGGAGTTCATTTATTCATCTATTTATGACAATAATAATAATATGTTCCGACTTATCTGTTTTATTTGCACAGCATGTTGTTTGACGGGTTGTAAACATGCTTTGACGCTATTAATTTAAGATGCTTATTAATGTTGAACTTTCTAATTTTGACGCTATTACTTTGATGCTCATTAAAGTTGAATTTTGTTTGCAAATTTTGTTTTAGTCTGCTTTGTTGTAATCTAGTGTATAAGACAGTTATATATTACAGCCCTTATCTCATATATTGTAAATTGAAATATCTAATTTACTTTCGTAACTGAATATACTGTATATATTTAGTTTAGGGTACCTACTTACAGAATTAGGTAAACTAATCACTGAATTAAATTTCATGACTTGTTTAATCTTTCACAGCATAAATGGTTTATTAAAACATTTATTGAGCTCAATTGTTTCAATTTTCTATTCTGTCATACATTTAAATAGAGCTTAGTCAAGCAGACCTTCAATAATTTTGGTGTGCGATCAAATAATGTACTTTATTTTTCAGTTTCCTCCTAACATACTGTGTCTGGTAAATGGGAGGTCGTTTGATACAAGTTACAAGCTACAGCAATATGACACTGTTACCTTACATCCTAAACTATGCGGAGGCAAAGGAGGTAAGAAGCTCATCGGTTCTTCTTTATAACTTGTTTATTCGTTTGCATATCAATGATCTGTAAATTTCTATGTGACAACTCAGTTTTCAAATACACTTTACTCAGTGAAAATTAAAAATTATCGACTGATTTGAACATTTCTGCTGTTTGAGTGCTCGTCAAGATTATAAACCTCCTTCCAGGGTTCGGGTCCATGCTCCGTGCTATTGGTGCACAGATAGAAGCTACCACTAACAACGATGCTTGCAGAGATCTAAGTGGTAAGAGACTCCGTGACGTCAAGTGCGAGAAACTGTAAGTTTTGGCAGTGGCTCATGCTTTTATCTTTGATCTTTAAAAATTTAATGATAAATAAAGTTACTATCATGGGCAGGACCGGGTTCACAAGAACTTGTATCATCTTAGCACAGCAAAACCTTGATTTACCGTGGAGTTTCGGGAAAGGAAACAGCCGCGGTAAATAAGGGTTCGGGATAAATCGAGGATTTATGTGTTAAGCCCTATTTGGGGAAAGGAAATGGTGGCGGTAAATCGGGCTTTTGCGGAAAATCGGGGTTTTACTTTACTGTTGTATTATACTGATCGTTACATAGTTTTAATTGGTCACAAACCGTCCGGTCTCCAATAATAAGAGCTTAGTAAGTAATAATATAAAGTATAACTTATAAGTAAGGATATGATAATATATAATAAGAGACGAACCCTGAAGCAGCCTAAACTGTGCCTTTAGCGACCGCTTTCTAGAATCTTAAAACTGCTGAATATTACTCGCTACTTGTCAGCATGTACGAAGCTTCTCTTGTTTTTATTCGTAGCGACTTTCAATAATGCTGTTTCTCAAGTAACAGAACTACACAATAAACTAACCCCACTGTTTTTACTAAGATATAATAATGATGATATATTATATGGTAATAAATGATATTAATATACGATCACAACGATCAATAGAATATAACAATGGCATAAAGAGTAATAGAATAATTAAGAGTTTGCTAGCTTTAAGACGACTTCGGGCTTATAGTAACGAAGAAACAACCAGTCTAACAGTATGCTTTGAAGGATGAAGGACTGGTCAGAAAAGAAAGCCCACGAGAAAGATGACAGAAAGGAGAGGAAGAAACAGAAGCTTCAGAACATTCTAGAGCGGCCTGCTCGTATTAAAGCAGAAGATAACACGTACATATCGGAGGTAAGGGATAGCGTGAACGGTAAAACTATCTTATAACACATTTCGTTATAACATCGTGTATAACATAACAGTGGTCTTGATACTTTGATGTTTAGTCTTTGCTGTGTAGTTCACGAGGATAACTTGCTTGTCGCTGCTGAATTCTGAAAATACTTGATACCATTTAAATTTAGCAGTTACCATACTTGTACCACCATATTTCTTGCTCCACCCTGTGGAACAGATATGCTGGACGTAATTAGCCATGTGCGTGACTATAATTATAACGACAATTACCTGCAGTTTTAATAATATGTGCTAACATTATCATTTCTCTTGCTAATTATGTCCAATTACTGTTTGGAGTGTTGGCTGCACATTTAGTACAAGTTCTTGGTAGAATGTGACGGTATGCTGCGTCTACTTCTGGTTAAGTTCAGGGGACACTGCTAATCAGTTTTGGTCTGATTCGACCTTAGTTTTTCTTCCTGAACAGCGTTTTATACCGCGCTCTACACAAGAATTAGAGACAATTACAAGAATTTTAAAACTGCCGAATAATACACATGTCAGCATGTACGGAGCTTCTCTTGTTTTTATTCGTAGCACTTGTGACTTTCAATAAGACTCGTAAAAGTTAAGACGTTTAGCAGAGCTCAACCAAGATATCGGCCGGGATTTGGCGTTTTTGTCCCGGTCCCGGTCCCGGCCGGGATTACCGTTTTGGCCGGGATATTAGCCGGGATTTTTAAAACAGAATTTCGATCTTTTTAATCCAATTTAGCTTCAAATTCATATTTTATTACTTTGACTTTAAAGACAAATGAAACGACTGTTAAAAATCGAACTAATCGAAATGAAAATCGAAACTCGAAGGATTGATTAGATTTCAGGTTCATCTTCATCCGAAGATATAACGATGTTGATATCAATGTTGTCATCCTCTGCTTCATTGGTCAATGGACCCTTTATACGAAGCTGAAGGTTGCTTAAAATGTTCCATTTCAACATAGAAATATCGTGAAAATCCTGGTCCCGGCCGGGATTTCATTTTCATCCCGGTCCCGGTCCCGGTCGACCCCTGACGTTTAGTTGGTTCACCTCCCATCTTTAACCTGGATACGTCTGTCAACAAACAAACAGTGCACTGACACAGCTGCATGCCAACCAAAATAAAGCCGCAAGTAGCGCAAAATTAAAAACAGATGCTCGACATAAAACAAAAAGAAAGTTAAACCTAGACCTGTAGTGTATCTCCAGTAGTGCAGTACAACTCTTCTTGCTTGACCAGCAATTCGTTCTGCAAATTATTTGAGATATCCATTGTTCTGATCCAATTAAAGAGTTAATGTGACCGTTTAAGATTTTGATCTGGACAGCTGCCGGCATACTGTAAGTTTGACATTTCTTTGATAAATTGGGCGACTATTTGTCACAAATTTTATAATTAAGCGGTTATCAAGGAGATACGATATTATCTATCAAATCATCAAATCAGTTTTAAATTAACCATGTTATCATTGATTACCCAGACAATAACGCAACGTTTTAATAAAAGCATACTTTAATTACGCTGCTATGCACGTCCAAATGTCACCAACTTGGCAACTTTAATCTTTATACTCATATGAGTCATATAAATGATTTAAGTATTTTATATTATTCACAATGCTTCTGACGTTGATGGTAATTACAATTTTATAATTCTACACGCTTTGGTGGGTGTGGTCATGATTGTTGCAGTTCTACTTTCCAGATAACAAACTATTGTGCATACCGTTACTAGTGTTATCCGTGTTATCCGTGTTATTACATTCTGTAGACATGATGTCATTGCATGCCTTAGAAACTTTAAAGTTATAAAATATGCTATATTGCTCCAAAACTTTCCTGACCAGTCATTTTTTGTGGAACGCATTTTCACCCCGGATACAAAGCGTGCCGGATAGTTTTTACAGCTGCAACTGCAGTTATCTTGCGTATCTTAAGAGTTCCATGAACTTTTGTTCAGCTTTGATAGTTCTTTGTTACAAAGTCTGTTACAAAGTCTGTATATATATATATATATATATATAGTTTTAATACTTTCAACACTACTATATAACAAATAATTTGAGGATGACTGTAAAGGTACATTTTACCGACATTTGAAGTCAAGGCGTTGTTTTACTGATAGTTGTGGCTGACTAATAATATATATTATATATATATAATAAATTGTTGTACTTACTTATGTTGTTGTACGTACGTAAGGGAAAGATCGGCTGGGATCGCATCCGGACATCTGCATCATTGTCTTCCTCCTCAGTCTTCCCCTGTGTCGGTGACATTTCTTCTTTGGAGTTTCTATTGGAGATTTGTTTGGTTTCGTATGCCCTTTCTTTGGGAATTTCTCTGGGAATCATTTCAGAAAGTCAGAGCTGAAAGAGCTAGTTTGAAGGAGTTCATCTCTCTGGGCAAGATATATCCTTAAATGTGTGAAGTGAAGTTGCTTCCTTGCTTGACCTACCCATTACTTCCTTACTTTATCATATCTTGACTTGATACCAAAACGTGCGTTTTATCGGGTATCCCGTATCTACTATCTTGCCATTCTCACAGTCTGTAAGAAGGGTAACAATTCTGTGAGTTACAGAATTGCTACCCTTCTTCTGCTACGGCTTGTGTCACTACCCGACCACACGAATTTAAAAAAGGGTTTTTTATCTTTAGATCTGAAAGCATTGTCAGAAGACATCTGATAAGATAGCTATACTTATACAGTTCGAAACAAAGAAGCATTTTGAGCTGAAACCCAATCAGCAACGATATGACTACGGCAGCGGCGTACGCCAAACCGAAACTTGATGATCCTAACGGCGCGCACGTACACTTTTTTACTGTGCTGTACTGTACTGAGCTGGTCTCACAGTGGAAAATATCTGGATTTTATTCTTGCATAAAAGCGATAATGCAATTATCGCGTGTTTATCGCCCAATATGCGATTATCGCGTGTTTATCGCCTAACATGCGATTATTGCGCACGATTATCGCCTAACATTGGCGATTATCGCTAAATGCACGATAATCGCCATTAAATAGTGATAATCGCTAAAATCTGCGATGATAATGCAATAGTGAAATGATGAGTTAATTTTGACATACTGTGAGTCATATACTGCATCAACATTCAACACTGCACTGAATCAAAATTATGGTTGAACAGCAATAAAAAATATTATATTTGATATATATATTAAACCTTGTGCCTGACGCCGCGCGCAGCGGATCCTGCATTTTCATTTTGAGTTTGACCCTGGCCTCACAATTACATTTTACAATCAAACTATAACCTTCAAAGGCGAAAGTAAACACAAGCATCAACATTTCATATTTCCAATTTCATTCCTCTTCCCCCTGTTTAACGGACGCAAACGCTATTTACGAATGACCCCTGGGCCCCTACGACAAACCCGAAACCATAAACATAAACTTCTATTCAATTTGTAATTCGAAAATTATCTCATAATTCCGTTATGGAAATAAATCTTATACATGAATAAGAATCTGAATCAATACATATTGTTCATTCTGTCTGCCGATGGCAATTATATCAATATTATATTCAAATAGTACACGGAGTTCATTACTGCATTTCAAGTTTGACACGCGCGGTGAGCCGCGCACTTTTGTTGGATTTGAACTATACGAAAATCAAATTATGAATCGAGCGCTACTAGGGCGCTCACTTAGCGCTTAGTTACCAGCCAACTTTACTTGTTATGATTTGTACCTCTTAGTGTGACCTGGATCAGAATATTTTCTTCGACTTCAGTTTTCAAAAGTGAGAGTGCTTGGATCGAATATAGATATATCTCTGTAAGAGTGTATAAGATGTTACAACTTACACACGTGCGGTAATCGGTATCATGTCACCAAGTGACTTGTCTATTGTCGTTACCAATGGCCACACTATTCACCTAATACCGTAATCTGCTTGACAGCTCGATCGAATTAAATGATTGCATTTGTTGTTATAAAGAACGAAATTAAGCACGTTCATATCGATTATCACATTAGTGAGAACATGAGTGGAAGCAGGACAGAAATGTTCGCAGGGTTAACTGTAACACGACAGTTAAGACCACTTGGTTCCGATGGCTTCCGCAGGAGATGTTGGTTGTAAGTTATTATACATCGAACTTGTTTGTTTCCTCTTACCTACATTTTTGCTGACTCGACCTGCAATCTGCACGAGTTGTAAGTGAAATTATATAAATCTTCTAATTGTAGGTATATTAAAGTATATTAAAATGTAGGATTTTTTCCGATTTTGACCCGGGGATATACTTTAATATACTTTAATATGGTTGGCCCCCCCCCCCCCCCAAATTTTACTCTTCAGGCACATGAGAGCCAGGTTCCCTACTCTCGAAGCGGTTCCCGAAATAAAACGAGCTGTGGCACGTTTCTGCCATATCGAGGGTAAATAAGTTTTTATCACTTGCCATTGCCTCACTTCTTATTAGGAACTAGAGAAGTTCTCGCAAAACATCATGGCTTAACAAATGACAACTCTGATCGATATATCTTTTGTAAAAATCGTTCTTTAATCATTAAGGAGATGAATACATTTCAGAAAGTGGCGTACACTCTGATTGGGTGAGGGAGGTCCAGCTACGATATAAGAAATATGCTGTTGACAAGAAATGCAAGAGGAAGGGGGCAGCAGTGAAGCAGAGAGCAGCATCGGATCATCCCCCAGTTACTGCTGCTGGTACCCAGACAGATCCACTGCACGCATTGCACTGCAAGGTAAGCTGCACCTGTATCACATATGAACAATCAAATTTCATCTGTCATGATATGAGATCCACTGAATCCCTGTTGAAACAAAGCTGTTAAAATAGTGATATTCAGGATTGTGTGACCAATGCCATGCGGCATGTCCTGGACGAAAAGGCGGCGGAAATTGCGGAGATGAGGACCAATCTCCTCCTCAGCTCCACCAAGCACCCTCTCCGACCCCAGCACCCGTCAGGTAGCATAGCAGAATAAATATGACCCGGTGTCCAATGTTTTTGAAATGGTTGAAAATCGTCATTTAGTATGCAGTTTAATTCCATTGTAATGTTATTGCCAGGGTTATGTAATAATTTTGTACCCAGGCTAACAATATTTAGTCAAATTTAAAACTGATATATAACACATCTAAATATTGCAGCAGTATCCTGATCAGAACCCCTGACCCCATCCGCTCTCGCTCGCGAACTCCCTCCGTCAGTTCAAATGGGCCAGGGTAAATTTTTAAGCCATAAAAGTAAATGAGTTAATGTATGTGGTGTTTTGGTAAGTCAACTAGTTATTTTATTGATAAGAAAGGACTCTTATGAAGATTGGCGATGCGTTATATCATTTGTGATGAAATCTTAACACCATATTTATTTCAGACCGTCCCGTTCCAGTCACGGTACACCAGTCTGTGCTGTGCAACCACGATCACGGATTAATTCAGCAGCATCCAGGTATTAGGCAGTGAACCCCCCTCCTGGCTCTCCCTCCCTGGCCCTCCCTCCCTGGCTCTCCCTCCCTGGCTCTCCCTCCCTGGCCCTCCCTCCCTGGCTCTCCCTCCCTGGCCCTCCCTCCCTGGCCCTCCCTCCCTGTCCCTGCCTCACTCATTCTAATTTCAGTATCAGTGCGGACAACTGGGGGCCCGAATCTGTCATAGAAGCCAGAGTCCGCATGGCTGCTGAGAGGAAAAAAAAAGGCCTCTCAAAAGAAGCTCACTGCGACTGAGATTTTCCGACAGCGTTGGGGAGGTTCAGTTTAACTATAAAACTTGTAAATACACTGAATTTATTATTAATTTTTGAAAAATTATGTGATGTTTGTTCCGTGATACTAACTTTTTTTTGTGACACTAATTCATTAACTCTATTTGTGATACTAATTTATTAACTAATTTTATGATACCAATTTTGTGACACTAATTTTGATAGACTGTGGGATACTGAAGGGAAAAGAAGCAGTTCTAACGAGCTCTTCTCAAACACAAGGATATATCTTGTGAACTTGGCTGGTATATATGAAACATTTGACACGGAGTTGTAGAGTGAGCTATGTGCCTCGCCAGGGCTAAAGTAGTGAATGACCTTGCTGTACGGCAAGTTAAACAAGGACCACGTGCTGAGGTAATTTACTAATAAGACACAGGCTGTCTGCATCTTTGACTATAAAACATCATCAGTCGTAACTTGAGTAGGATCAGAGTGGGTTGAGTGTAGCACTTTAAAAGGATATTTAAGAGCTGAACTTGTGAATATTAAACATCTGAAGGTGATCATCCGTGTAATCCTGCAGGTCGTTACTAGATAAGTGCTTTGAAGAGGGAGCAACCTTTGAGGTGAAGGGTTCACAGGGAAAACCCCTCCTCATCACCACTATCATTAAGCCGCACAAGGAAATAAAAACTCCTGCTGACAGTGTTAAAAGGAAGCACACTCATGTCTTCAAGGATATAGTAGAGAGCCAGGTATCCTGAATAACGTTATCGGTAATAAGTTAAACTGTATATCACTTCCGCAGTTTGCCATCATAGCCATACTGAAACTGAACGAATCCCTACAGGCAATTTAGTTCAATCAACATGAATATTTGCAGGCTGAGTCAAGCTGTTCAAAATCTAATGACTCTGATATCGAATCAGTGACCAAACGGATCCGAACTGCGGAGTTAACATCACTCTCTAAAGAGCAGCGGGAGTATGTACAGGCGTTGGCTGGCGTTGACTGTAAGAAACGAATTGATGCTCTTCATGTTGCTATGTTCAAAGCTGAATGTAAGTTGTTAAGAACGATACAAATTGTCATTATCATTACAACTTAGCGGGTGGAAAAGTTAATTCTTAGTGTGCAATAGATTTCATCGCAATAAATTAAATGCTGACTCAATTTTTAGCTAACACGGGGACAGCCAATGTACGAAACAACCTGCGGCCACTGCTAAAAAAATATGATATAAAAATGGAATCAGAGAAGGAACTCAAGTCAATGGAAGAATTATACACCGTGAGTGCTCAGTTGAACTCAAAACCAATTATATATCATTTTGGTGTCATGGCGTACTAGCATATAGCATAGCACAACCCAGATTTTGAAATATAGAATATATTGTACATCAAAAATTAACATCATTCATGTTTTAAGGTGAACTATATGAGTGCAATGGTTTCTCTTTCCCATAAAGCTGCAGCACATGATAAAAATGAAACTAAAAGTGGTGAGCTGTTAGCAAGACGTACCCCAGTAGCCTACTGTGATGGACAGGAACTGCTAACCAAAACACTTATAACCTTGAAGAATACCGGTATTTCAAATTTCTAGAGATTATAGAGCTGTTTACAAAAAATTAATTTGATTTAAATAGGTCAAGGTGGGCAGTTCTTTTAGCGGTTTTTATCACATAGTTCATTAACAGCCAGCTGAATTCTATATATTCCAGGCCAGTTAGATGTGGGAACTGACAAAACTATACATGTTAAGCTGTTTGTAGACGCAGACACGAGCTCCACTAAAGTGGCAGTCAATGTGCTAAACCAGCCTTCGTGTAACAGCTCGTATGCCCACCCAATGCTGGTGTACACCGAAGCTCCGGACCATCGCAGGAACATGGAGGTCATATTTAAGGTATTTCTTCATGAAATCTAGACTTCAACTTGAGCTTATTTGTATTAACAGCTTACACTTTAAAAACTGGACAGGCATGAGACAGATAACATTACAGGTGGTTAACCGGGACCTACCACAGCTCAAGAACTTTGTCTTCTGTGGAGCACATGTGAAGATGATTCTCTGTGCAGACACAAAGGCACTGTGGGCTATGCTGGGTATGGGCAGCAATGGGACGTTCCCCTGTCCACTGTGCGAGGTACATAAAGACCTGATGCAAGTACCCAGAAGCCAGAGAGCTCTCTGCAAGCCCCGAACTTTTGCGGGAATTATGCAGAACTTTGATGCTAATATGAGGTACTTATAAACTTATAATACCAGTCATTAACTCGCTGATTGCAGCTCCTTCATTTCACAAAGTACAAACATTTATCTCGATGTATATTGTATACCATGTATGTATTTCGATAGATGTATACCATTTCTGTAAACTGTTAGTATCGAGTTTTTCCACATCAGAATGACTCAGTGTAACCCGAGATCCCAAGCCCAGTTTATGAATGTTGCTTCACGACCCATCACAGACTGTTTCGGGGAGGATTCTGATTATCTCATAAACTGGGTCGCTGTTCCGTTCTTGCACATAGTAAGTGATCGAAGCTCACAGTTTTTTATTCGAACACCGCTCATGCTGTTCCTGATATGTGGCAAATAGAACTAGGTACTAGAATTATTTGACTGATTGTCATGACTCTTGATACTTCCTTTAGAACATCAAAGTCGGGACTTTTCTGTGGACAGAGTACGGTAAACTGTGCGAGGAGATAGACTTTGTACTCGCTTGCAATGTGGCAGACGGGTTTCTTCCCAACAGCTACAGCAGTACGACAGACTTTGGAGCCATGATTCTGCGCATCGAACAAGGTAATGTAGATTCATCGATGAATGTATCACTTCATTATTGAAAAATTGGAGGCTTTGCAAACTGATATATAATGAGTTGAAGAAAATAAGTGTGGCACTGTACATTTTAGGTAACCGTGTGGCCTCGAAGTGCAACAGTGGGCCCCTTTCCTCGAAGTATGAGCAATATTTGAGGGGCATCAATGTCACTCCTGAGGCATACCATGGTGTGTCCCTGACCGGCGTGAGAGCAGGATATTTGGTTAAAGCCAATCACACTCAATTTTGGACAGACCACTTCTATAAAAACGAGTAAGTTCTGTGAGATCAGTGCGATTTAACTCATGTTACTAATGGTTGTCGTTTATAGTGAAATAACTACCACTTTTTACTTGTGATTGAAGGCTAAAATTCTGTATTGATAACGAGCTTCTGTGACTGACCGATTCTGTGTTGACAGGAAGATAAGACCACAGGACAAGCTGCACTTTCAGCAACGGCTCCTTGCACTGGATCGCATTAAGTCCTCGTATAGAGATCTCTTAGTTCTCGGTGGCAAAAGTGGGAAAGTGAAGAGTCCCCGTGAGATCGAAACTCTTGTCAAGGCCAGGGACCTCTTCTTGGCAGAGTACCGAAAGTTTGGTCAGTCCACATCGGTGAAGGTATTGTTGTTATCTCTTATAGCTTTACCTGTTGTCTCCAACCCCTAAATAGCCTGGAAGAAAGTTATTTTCATGACATATTTATAAGAAACTCCGGCCCAACCGAACTCTTAAAATTGCAACATCATTTCAACACCACCTCCACCAGATACATCTCCTTGAAGACCACTTTTTGGAGCAGATACAGCTCTGGGGGATGTTTTCTGGATCTTTCAATGAGCAAGGTGGTGAGAGTACTCACTCCCTTTTTAAGAATCACGAACACATGACAAGTAAGAAATAACTTGGGCTTTTAGAATTAATTGAGTTTGAGATCAAATTTTGATTTCCACACGTTGAATAGTAGTGTGTAAGGGGTCGTTCATATATTACTTAACCATCGAAGGTGAGGGGGAGTACATAATATGTGGACGACCACCACTTTAATACAGAAATGTAAGCAACATAAATTTTCAGACCATGTTCGTAATGACGAAGACCGAGTTGTGAAAAAGTGCGAGCTAGCAACACGGAAATACCTGTTGAAAGTGAAATCCAATCTGTGTGACTGAAATGGGTCAATCATGATGGATTTAGTGTTTGGGACAATCTGCTATATGCCTAAAATTGAAAGATTGTTAATTTGGTGATGCTTCACCCTCTGTTCATATTTTCTACTTGATCAATAATGATATTCGCCACATATTATGTAAAACGCCGCTTATGTTTTGCCATTAAAATTTTTTCGTTATAGTAGTGACTGCGACTGAAACCGCGCATCACGCAAGTTTTTGTCGCCGCGCGAGGGTGATTCAATTTTGTCCACTTCGCCATAATTCTCAGAGGATGTAATTTGACGAGTGCGGGACAATTTTGAGCGCAAGGAATCACTTGAATCGAAGATAACGATTGAGCTGACAATTTCTCCGGTAAAAATTAGACCTTAGATAACTGAATTGGGATGACATCGGAAATAACTCTGATGCGAGCAGGAATACACTATGTCATACTCATAGCAGTAATACTTGGATCAAATTAGTGTATATGTTATCATTATTATATATATAAAGTGTGCCTCACTGGGGCACCCTTAAGTAACAGTTCCAGCTCGATAGGCCTCGTAACCGGGATGGATAGAGACAAACGAAATACATCATCTCGTCACAAGCAATCAGATCTAAGTTAAACGATAAGGCCAGGACATACTATGAGCATTGAATTAACTGTCAAAATGGTAACCTGAGCCCTAGAGGTGATCACATGCTATAAGCCTAACGGAAAAGTATTCTAAAAATATAAATCTAATCGTTAAGTTAAACACATTTGAAAGCGGCTGTCAGATAATATAAACGGTTCGGGATGATGGCTGTCGAGGTTCGGGCATGACGCGCCCGGCCGCACAATAAGCGGTGACTAGGGAAGTCACAACAAAAAGTCCCCTCTCAGTCTAATCTGAGCTCTCGATATTTTGGAAGAATTCTGGATTCTAGCTAGAAATAGGTAAATTAGTCAACGAACATGAGATGAATCATATATTAACTTAAAGATGAAAACCCGCTAATCAACGTTGACCAAAATTAAATTATGTGGGCTTACAATTGAATCATATAGAGTAACTATTTGATCATTTGACGTAGCCATTTTGTCAACGCAGCATTTTGTCAATTTGTCAACTCTAAATATTCGACTGCTGTTAATCTTTTAACTTTAATTATAAACTTATGTTACCACTGAAAATCTGAAATGGCTCCAGTAGATCTGTAGATGTGGCAGCTAGGTTCTCGTTATATACTGCGATAATCGCAAATTGAGGCGACAATCGCACGATAATCGCATAATGAGGCGATTATCGCACAAGGGGGGGCGATAATCGCAAAATGAGGCGATAACCGCGCGATAATCGCAAAATGAGGCGATAATCGCACAAGGAGTCGATTATCGCGCGATAATCGCGAGGGAGTGCGATTATCGCTGCAAAAATAAAATCTGCGAAATGGCCAACATTTTCCACTGTGGTCTAGCTGTTCAGCTGATGTATCTCAAAGATAGATATTTTGCTCTTCAATTTCGATTTAAATTGAGCTGGCGCCGTGCGTAGCGAAGCTAGACATGGTTAATCAGTAATGTACTCTTTTAAATGTCGTTTACTCGTGAGTGATACTTATGGCTTCCAGTAACTCCTGGCATCATCTTGTTCTTATTGCAGGTTATGGTTTGTGGGTGGTGTGTGTTAAGTGTTTGATACGACGAGTTCGTTTTTCGCATGAGTATTTAAAGTTAAAATATATAGTTCCTGAACGGAACTTGGAGTCCTCAGTACTCAATAGCATAAATTGTTAATGTCCGCGTGTAAAGGTGTACGAATAAAGTCTCCAGTTGTTTACATAATTTACTTTCAGATGCGGTCCATGTCGGACAGCGTTGAAGCAGCTATAGCCACAGCCATCGCTGAGGACGATCAAGTGAAAGACATCACTCTCCCTGCCCCAAGCAAGGCAAAGAAATGGTAAGATTTACCTGCTGCCTTTCATCGTCTACTGACTAGTTAGAAAACTTAAGAAAATCAGTAATCTGTCAACGGACACTTAGCACATAGTTGACACATGGTTTGCACTCCTCAAAATGTTACTAGGCACACAGTGTTACTCACATCCTGACAGGTGGCCGTCGACAGATTACCAAGCTCTAAAAACTTTTGATCTAGTTGTTGGTTTCTGAAACCAGGACGAGAGTTTTGAGAACTTTGTTAACTTTCCACCTCTCGTTTAAATACTTCCATTACTCAATATTTCCTTAATAATCATTATCATTTTCATGTTTAATCCCGTCTTTTTTACAGGTTTGACGAAGATTCAGATTCATCAGTAGATGAAAACGCAGGATCCAGTAGCGATCAGGAGAGTTTAGAAACAGACACACAGAGTAACGAACAAACTGGTGAAAATACAGGGGAGGTTCAGTGCGAAAAGGGGGAGATAAAGATAACTTTTATGGATGAATCAGAAGAGACAATACCTTTTGAAGAAAATGCGACCATGGAAGTAAGTGAGGTTGACCAAATGAGTCATGTGACATCAACAGAAGAACCTGGCACTCAATCAGACAATGATTCACATCCGGACACTACGAAAGAAGCGACTGAATGTGCACCACCGTCAGAAAATTGTCCTATAGAAGAAAAACAAGAACCCATACCAGATAAAAAGAACTGGGACGAGTTTGAAGCGGCAGACATGATGTTGGCAGACCTTGGAGCTGACAAAATTAAGAGCATTCTCTCTGACATGGGTCTTAAATGTGGGGGCACTCCGTTCGCTCGAGCGGAACGTCTTTTTTCTGTCAGAAACCTTCCAAAAGAGGAAATCCCTCCCTCGCTTTTTGCCACGTCGGGTAAGGGTAAAAAACGGAAAGTTGCCCAGTTTGTGGATCGTTGAAGGTTATCACTTCCACTGCATCATCTTCATTATCAGCTCATTAATACCCGACGTCGTGTCTGACTGGTTACCTGATGTTTCTGTAAGTGGTAACCGTGTACTTTATTAGTATAGTTAGATCGATTATGTGAACGTTACTTTTGCATATTCGCGGTATGCTAAGGATCGTACACCCGCGTCGGTCAGTTTATTTCATATATTATTTCAGTTACAAAGTCTGAAATTATTGATATGTTACTTACAGCAGTGAGCAGACTTATAGGGTAATCATGGAGTTATGCTTCCGGTTCAGCTCCGGTAATTCGTTATCGTTTCGTGCAGCTTGTAATTTAGATAACAATTTGAACTGCCTCATAAGTTAGTCTGGCATTTCCTTACATTTCATCAGACTGATCGAGATCTACCTATCCTTTGAGGAAAGTTGTTCTTCTTCGCAGTGGTTACGATCTATATGTTTGGGTCAATGAACAGAGGCAGCTGGAAGGATAATGACTCAGTTTAGGAGTGAGCTTCACGCAATTACAAAGCTCAGCCTTGCCGGGCAGTTATTTAGCTGGCAACGTACAATCTTCCTTCACATGCCGGTCTGTCGGCTCTGTCCGGGCCAATCTCCGACCAGGAAATTGCAGTTTACCCAATCACAGATCCGGGAATTCGTCAACCAACATCAGCCCACTGACTTATTGTTACTGCACGCACTAATCGAGCAGAACGTGGCAATTTTAATTCACATTTTCAATCTCGTTTATACCAAGATCTGACAGTTTTAAATTACAGCTGTTAACGGCATTTTATTTCGTTCTCAGCTTGATGAAATTGCTCTGGGAAATTATTTGTGATTTCACCTTTGAGGAAAGTTCATATCCGAGAAACAGGTAACATGATGTTTTGTTTTAAATGTCAGTTAATGAGCTGGCTAAATCATTGGCTCATTTACGTAAACTACAATTAACGTTTGTATGGCTTTGTTTATGACCAATTTATCTAACTGTAATGCAATCAGCATGTGTTGTCAGAAAAGTAACCTTTGTGTTATTTAGTATTTCGCACCTGGAATTTGAATAATGTGTGTTTTCTTTCATATTTGCTGCTTTTTTTTGTCTTCTCGTGAATGTTTGAGAAAAACTTTATGTGTCATGATAATAATATGCACTACATAAATTATCTTTATGTTCTACAGAAATCATATACATTTTAGTTGGATAGCATCTCATTAAGATATTTTACTTGCGGGCACCAGAAGGGATGTGTTTACAACCTAGCATTCTTCTACTAATACACGTCACAGCTCCCTCTACCAATTATTTATACATTAATTAATGTAACGTTGCCCTTCGTGCGCTCACATTGTATCGTCTCCCCTGACTATCCCTCTCATTAGAGCTGAATGGTGCTAGTCCCCGTGACAGGCTGCAGTGTGAGCACCACGCTACAAAGAAACACTAAAGAGTACGGGAAGAAGTTCCTCTTTGACGGGTGCCCGGATACATGCTGGAACAGCGACCAGGGTGACAGCCAGTATGTTGCTGTTAGGTTCGGGGAGACAGTGCACGTCAGAAGAATCAGGATACAGGTATTATATTCCGGCGGTGTCGCGTAATGTTTGGCTCTTTTTCTGATGTTTTCTGTTTTCTTACCTGCTAGTGAGTAGTGGACTGTTTACTAACGGCCACTAATTCATAACTCGATAATCTATTCAGGTAGGAACGTTTTATGAACTTAGTTTAAGAATTTAGTTACATGAATTATTTGAATAACTTCACTCGACCTGAAGTTTCAGGGCGGTTTCGCAGCTAAAGCTTGTCAGGTCAAAGCAGGAGGTGAAGTTCTGGATACAGTCTACCCGACAGACAGTAACACTATCCAAGAGTTTGAAGTGAACGTCAGTGGGCCTGAACTTCAGCTCATTTTCTCGGGGTTTACTGACTTCTACGGGCGGCTTATCGTTTACTTGATGGAGTTTCACGATACTTGACATCCGGTCATTGAAAATTTGTGCTACGTACTAATGCTATGGCACGAGGAATGTTCCTCTGCGAGCTCGACTCTCTGGGAGCTAGAAAATTTGTGAAACTCTGTTGAAAAATAACTCTTCCTGCTGTTTCTGTGGGAAGAGAAGGATCTTGCATTCAGTTTCCGGAGGATAGGGCTCATTTAACTTTGTTAGGAACACTACTTAGCCGACCTTGTTTTAGTTATTTACCTAGTTATGTGCCTTACAGCCAGTTACAGCTGCTTCAAAAATATCTAACCGCTTGCAGCTTGGGATCCAGTTCGTTTCATTTCTGACCATTGGCCTTGATTTTAAGCTACTTTCTCTATATTATTGCAGTTGAACAAGATTATCTATTATCATAGACTTGCGAGAACCTGCGATAATATAAGATTTTAACAGCTATGAACCAGACGCGAGCAAAATGTATTTTAAACACCATGACAGCGTTTTTAACAAGTGTGCCTTGTAAATTTAAGTGTGATCTTAAACCTAGACTTTTCTTAAACAAATCACACTTGTATTTCAGATTTTTTAAAAGGTATTCGAGTTGTTTTATAAGGTTGATGGCGGGTCTTAAGCTTTATTTTTAGTACTGTCGGGTTCTTCATTTGTATTTATTTATTGGATCTCCATTCTCCAAGATATTTTTAGACACTGTTGGACACTATTCTGATTTCTGTGAGAAATTTTAATTTCCCATCACCGGATCGTTTAATTTGCAATTTGCATACCTCACATTTTTTGGCATGCCCTGTTTTCGTTTATAAACTGTACAAATACAGTTGAGCTCTTGTTGATTGTTTTGAGCAGCAATATCAACAGTTACTGAACCCCTAACATTATTACATTGCTAGGTTTTTATAACCCCCTAACATTACTAAATCGTTAGCTGTTTAAAACCACATGAGCATCCGATCAAGAGCGGGTACTCTTAATTTGAGGGGTTCTCTAAGACGGCTCTTCTCCCTCACATCCTCCGAGACAAGTAACACTCTAGTTAAGAGTGAACCGCCTCCCTCTCCTAATAACAGGATCCTTATTGTGGGATTGGGAAACTACCCTGCTCCAAGATCCAGACATAGCGTCGGTAAGTGTCTTTAATTCTGCCTTTCTTGTAACTTAAATTCAACCATGTTGGGAGTGTTTTCTTTATTAGTGATAATAAGTCATTATAATCATTTAGATTGAAGTATATTCTGCGTACAGCTCGATAACCTGCCGATTCCATAAGATTTAAAATGTCACCATAGCAACTTAACTTAATACCCCTAATAGACAAGTCATCTTTAAGTAATTTATTAAGTATATTAACACCTCCAGCACTTTAAGTAGATTAATGTCTACCTCTCTTACCAGGTGACAGTTTCATGATATAATAACATCTTTTTATATCCCAGGTCAGTATTTGTTGCGCGGTATAGCAGAACGGAACTCTGTAGAATTCTCATACAAACGGAGCTGTAAAGCTCACCTTGCTTCCTTTCAATATAACGATGCGGAAGTGTTCCTACTCAAGCCGAAGCATTTTATGAACCTCAATGGAAAAAGGTATTTAATCTCTAATGGCTTGGGCCTCTGCAATGAGTGTGAGCTTTCATTAGAATTTTAAATACATAACTTTAAGTTCAGTAAATTACAGGAAGCTTTATGACAGAATAATCCTCATTTTTATTAAACAAAACATTCGTCAAACTTTATCGCCCTGACATCTATCATTGACCTGTATTTCAATTTGAAGTCCTTTTAACAAATCTGTCAAACGAAATAGACATTAAAGATCAACAACTTTTAACGAACTATAAGACATATCAAATAACAGCGTTTTAACGTACAATATCCTCCTGACAGTGTAGTAAAAGCCGCCTCAGTCCTCCAGATCAGCCCTACTCACGTGGTTCTACTCCACGACGAACTGGATCTACCACTCGGCAAGTTCAAGGTGAAACACGGAGGCTCCGCAAACGGGCACAACGGCGTTATTGACTCTCAGGAGCGAATGAAATACAACGATATCAAACGTCTTCGTATTGGCATAGGTTAGTTTAAACCATTAAACTGGATTTAGCTTGTGATCTACAATCTTAAATAACCGATTTAAGGATTGAACTCGATTAGTTTGAAGATTAGCTATGACCTGAGATTTACCAGATTAACTCCTGAAATTTATAATGAATTACCTATTTTAAACGAATAAGATTAAGCTTTATGCTCTTCTTTCCGCATCCTTACTCCGCTCTGTAAATTGGAATTTATAATAACAGACCGTTCACCACACGAAGTTGATAAGAGTTGTTCTTGCAGGTAGGCCAGATAATAAAGAAGACGTAATGGACTACGTGTTAGAAGATTTCACACGGAATGAGCGCAACCAACTGTCAGCCATGAAAGAAACTATGATCGATACAGTGCATCAGATAATTGCTGTCATGCTCTCCCCTCCAGGTAAGACTAATTAGATTAATTAACTCATGAAGCTCTCTTTTCGTAATTAGCTAATTCTACGCCACCTTTATTTTGTGTTACCAATATTGAAAACTAAAATTAGCTGTGTAAAACTTGCAGGTGATATAGATTTGAATCCGTGATCGTTTATAAACTTGAACACTTATTTAGATGAAAACAAACCGAAAGTTAATCAGCCAAAAAAGAAGAAAAAACCAAGGCCAGCTAAGCCTGAAACTGCTGCTATCACTGCTGACAGTGCGTGCACCACTGATACCACTAATGTGACAGTGGAAGGGAGTATAGCAGAAACTGCTGAACCATGTTCTGTGGTGAATGAACAGGATGAAATATCAGCAGTTGAAATAGTTGCGGAGGACGATGAAATATCAGCAGTTGAAATAGTTGCGGAGGACGATGCGGTGGTCCCTGAAACTACCTCCAAAACCCCACAACCAGATTCTCCTGTTAACTAAAACCCAGGTAAACTAATGATATTTATATTCAGACCTGTAAATTAACCCAACCGTTGTTTGCAGATACCCAGGAAGCACACTTGATAAAGGTAAACACAGCTCTGGAGGAGCTTCCTGACTGGGAGTATGAGAAGTGCATCCCCTCCCCCCAGTGGACACCACCCTCCCCCCGGAACAATGCTAACTTAGTGTCACGTGGTACCAGTCAGACTTCTGATCCTCTCACTACTCTCGTCATGTTGGGGGCCATCCACAAAGGTCTATTGTGGTCCTTTTTGTGGGCCTTCTGAAGCTCTCTTGATTTAATGTGTGACTACTATTCTGCTAACTGTCATATGTCGTGTGTGGTTTTGTGTGATCACCAACTCTGCTTCATGTTCGTGGCTCATGCTAATTTCATATTTTTGGTTGCATTATATGCATGCAGATTGCAGTTTAAAGCAGTGAAGCACCTCATCTGAAAAGCAGAAGAATTGACTTGGACTTGGGATGTTGTACTTGATACATGCTTCAGGATACCTTCTATTTTCTACACTCTTCGGGTCAAACAATTTTAACCTGATTGAATGTTGTAATCTTGAATTGTTGAACATTTATTAATATAACCTGAAAAACATTTTATAAGTTTAATCGCTGAAAAAAAAAACACATTTTCGGGAAATATAGCCGGGTTTGGAAAATGAAGCCGCATGAAATGATGTAAAATTTTTAAATTTAATTTCTTTTAGCACAACTAACCCATTCCCCCGTTCCCAGTTAACTACAACAACAACTCTAACCGAAACTCAAGGGTGCCGGAACAGCCACCCAGTACACCCGGCTCACCAGGCAGACGACGTTTCTCCAGTGAAACAGTTCCTAAAATATTTCCGTACGACGAGCAGGACGTGAGGAAGGATTACAATAAGAGGGAGAGTAAGATAGAAAGAACCTGCAATAAGAGATTAGATTACCGACATTATAGGATGGATAGGAGAGACTCTGATTCCAGTAGAGAGTGAGTACAGGTTCTCAGGGAGTCAGACTCCAGCAGAGTCGAGATAAGGCATTCAGGTTCCAGTTCAAATTGAGAGGAGAGACACAGATTCGTACAGAGATTGAGAAATGAGACTTAGACTGAAGCAGAGTTAAGAAAAGCGGGTTCAATTCCAGCAGCGATTGTGAAAATGGAAACAGATTCCAGTAAATATCCAGTAGACATTGAAATAGATGATCAGACGCTATCAAGCTGTGGTAGACAAGAGCGGCTTGAATCATGAGTGATCGTGAAAATAGAAACAGATTCTATAGAGTCAGATTGTCAGAAAGGGTACTGAGAAATCTAGATTAGAGATTGAGACAGTTACTAGTCAAACGAACTTGATTTAGCCATTAAAGAGTAAAACTCTTAGGACTGACCATTGTAATTCTTCAGAGATGAGCTGCAAAGATATTTGATCAACTATTGACTGTATGATAATACCGCTCAATTACGTACGGACTGTAAGAATTAGCTAGGCTTCTGTCGTTATTTAGACGACATAATGGTTATATATCCAATATCAGACAGCAACTTCGCTGAGTGAACAACCTGATTTAGTCGAGTTTTAGAGTCTCATTTGATTTTGTTGACCGAATAATTAACCTAACTACTACTTACTCCAGCGAAGTTTTAAAGGTGATTTTCTTTTGGGAAAACAAGTAAACTTTTATTGTTTAGTAGAACAAATGACTGTTGTTAAGTTTTATTAATAAAATACGTAATATACGTATTACGTATCGATATGTTCGATAAAACTTCTGTTGTTTTAAACGTATTGATGCTTATACATCAGAATGTGATATTCTGATCGATAATTGTTAAATTGATATATGAATTTGACTTATAAACCGGATATGTTCAATTATAACAGGTTCTGTGGTTACATTCCTTGTCCCACAAAGAAATTTTACCAGTTTTTGTTTATTATTTTTACGTGATAAACGTCTTTTATTTCTACATTCTACTAAGCAAAAGCGTGATGAACAATGCACAATATCTAACGAATACAAAATAAGGCCCCGTCTACTTAGGACGTCCGCAAAAATCTCAGAGTTTTCAGACCCCCGGCCCCCCCCCCCCTTGCTTGTATTGCCATTCCCAACGAGTCCCTTGCACGGTTCCTGTCACACATACATTATACACAAAGAAGCAGAAGCAGCTCGAAAAGAGTGCCGCGCATGAGGTTGGTGATCCTATTGACTGTTAACGAATGTTACTCGTCCATCGTCTAAATTTCTTCGAAGTAGCGCGCGCCGCTTTCTTCTCGAAATGTTGCCCATTAACAATGCTCAAATGATCCTAGCCTAGTCCTAGTAAAAATTTGTATCACGTGGTGACCCCCACTGTCGCTTCACTATAGTAGAGTTTCAACGATACAGGGGGAGCCGCGCACCCGTGCGCGGCGGGTTGTAGGTTTACAACCTACCAGGACGCGCGCCGAGTTGGACTCGTCGACGGCGCCGCCTATGGTCCCCGGTAACTCTGATGGGGCATGGGTCAGGTATGTCCCACCCCTTAAAAAGAAACTTTGATACTCATGGGGCGGCCCACCCGTTAAAAAGAAATTTTGATACTCATGGGGCGGCCCACCCTCTGAAAATGTTTTTGATACTGATGGGGCATGGGTCAGGTATGTCCCACCCGTTAAAAAGAAATTTTGATACTCATGGGGCGGCCCACCAGTTAAAAAGAACTTTTGATATTCATGGGGCGGCACACCCTCTGAAAATGTTTTTGATACTGATGGGGTATGGGTCAGGTATGTCCCACCCGTTAAAAAGAAATTTTGATACTCATGGGGCGGCCCACCCGTTAAAAAGAAATTTTGATACTGATGGGGCATGGGTCAGGTATGTCCCACCCGTTAAAAAAAATTTGATACTCATGGGGCGGCCCACCCGTTAAAAAGAAATTTTGATACTCATTGGGTTGCTCTATCCAGAGCCCTTGCGCTTGCAGTAGCGCGCGCCCGCCTCACGGCGGTAAAAAGGGCTCGATCTAGCCATGAACCCACCCAACGATTTTGGCACCACTCTACAGTGGTGCCAAAATTACCCGCGCTTTTGTCCTCATATGCGACGTGTGTAGCCTTTCAGACATTGATTGCGTAAACGAGGTGTCGTACGTCACCTCAAGATCGGGTGACAGGGGGCTGACCATGCCCGAACCTAATTTTAATTGATCATTGATTGGGTCTGAGGTCACGTGATTATGAGCCTATGAGGTCACGTGACTATGACGTCAACAGACCTTGTCCTATGTTTCCCGCTCATTGGACCATACCAGGTGAGCTTGCATGCTTGTGAATGTAGGTGTAAGTACAGCTGTACTGTAGTTTATAACTAGTTAACCCCTATACACTGTCAATATGCACTATAGAAACCTGAAAAGTGGTTACTGCATACTGGAGGGAGAAGTGCCAAGACTACCTGCGCTACATAGACGCTGTTGTCAGCACTGCGCACACGCGCACGAACCTTCCCATCGGGGTTCGTGGATAGGTGCTTTTCTTGACTTGTGAAACAAGCGCGCCAGAAGTGGCGCGAAAGCACATGGTTAGGTGAACTCATTGGGCGGCCCACCCTCTGAAAATGTTTTTGATACTGATGGGGCATGAGTCAGGTATGTCCCACCCGTTAAAAAGAAATTTTGATACTCATGGGGCGGCCCACCCGTTAAAAAGAAATTTTGATACTAATGGGGCGGCCCACCCTCTGAAAATGTTTTTGATACTGATGGGGCATGGGTCAGGTATGTCCCACCCGTTAAAAAAAATTTGATACTGATGGGGCATGGGTCAGGTATGTCCCACCCGTTAAAAATAAATTTTGATACTCATGGGGCGGCCCACCCGTTAAAAAGAAATTTTGATACTGATGGGGCATGGGTCAGGTATGTCCCACCCGTTAAAAAGAAATTTTGATACTCATGGGGCGGCCCACCCGTTAAAAAGAAATTTTGATACTCATTGGGCGGCCCACCCTCTGAAAATGTTTTTGATACTGATGGGGCATGAGTCAGGTATGTCCCACCCGTTAAAAAGAAATTTTGATACTCATGGGGCGGCCCACCCTCTGAAAATGTTTTTGATACTGATGGGGCATGGGTCAGGTATGTCCCACCCGTTAAAAAAAATTTTGATACTGATGGGGCATGGGTCAGGTATGTCCCACCCGTTAATTTTAAAAAGAAATTTTGATACTCATGGGGCGGCCCACCCGTTAAAAAGAAATTTTGATACTCATGCATGGGGCGGCCCATCCGTTAAAAAGAAATTTTGATACTCATGGGGCGGCCCACCCTCTGAAAATGTTTTTGATACTGATGGGGCATGGGTCAGGTATGTCCCACCCGTTAAAAAGAAATTTTGATACTCATGGGGCGGCCTTACTGGGCCGCGCTCAGCCTGTCATTCCGCCAAATCTTTATATCTTTATGTTAATGAACATAATATATAGCCTGGGGTCCTCAGGTAAGGGGCGGCCCACCCTCTGAAAATGTTTTTGATACTGATGGGGCATGGGTTTGACGGATGTTACTCGTCTAAATTTCTTCGAAGTAGCGCGCGCCGCTTTCTTCTCGAAATGGCCCGATGGCAAGTGCTACGAAGTAGCGCGCGCCGGGCCAGATCATTAACAATGGTCAAGGCATGGGTCAGGTATGTCCCACCCCTTAAAAAGAAATTTTGATACTCATGGGGCGGCCCACCCGTTAAAAAGAAATTTTGATACTCATGGGGCGGCCCACCCGTTAAAAAGAAATTTTGATACTCATGGGGCGGCCCACCCGTTAAAAAGAAATTTTGATACTGATGGGGCATGGGTCAGGTATGTCCCACCCGTTAAAAAGAAATTTTGATACTCATGGGGCGGCCCACCCGTTAAAAAGAAATTTTGATACTGATGGGGCATGGGCCAGGTATATCCCAACCGTTAAAAAGAAATTTTGATACTCATGGGGCGGCCCACCCGTTGAAAAGAAATTTTGATACTCATGGGGCGGCCCACCCTCTGAAAATGTTTTTGATACTCATGGGGCATGGGACAGCTATGTCCCACTCCACAAAAATTTGATTGATACTCATGGGGCATGGTACACGAAATCCCACCAATGTTTTCTTCTTGATACTGAGGGGGCGGCCCACCCTCTGAAAAAAATATTTTGATAGTGATACTGATGGGGCATGGGACAGGTATTTCCCACCCTATAAAATTTTTATTGATACTCATGGGGCATGGTACACGAAATCCCACCAATGTTTTCTTCTTGATACTGATGGGGCGGCCCACCCTCTGAAAAAAATATTTTGATACTGATGGGGCATGGGACAGGTATTTCCCACCCCATAAAATTTTTATTGATACTCATGGGGCATGGTACACGAAATCCCACCAATGTTTTCTTCTTGATACTGATGGGGCGGCCCACCCTCTGAAAAAAATATTTTGATACTGATGGGGCATGGGACAGGTATGTCCCACCCCTAAAAATATCATTGATACTGATGGGGCATGGGTCAATATGTCCCACCCCCTAGAAAAATGAGTGATACTCATGGTCCACCATAATCTTCTTAACTACACCAGTTTTGCCAAGGACACTGTCCGACGTTGTTATCAGAATATCAGGCACGTAGCGAGGATATTTGCTTGGGCCTGGGGGGCCTCGGCGAGCGAAGCGAGCCGACGCGTCCAACCCAGCTGCGGCAGGGGTTTAGTGGTGCAGCCCCCATGGTGGGGTCCAGAGGCGGAGCCCCTTGGCCTTTGCTGGGGTTAGGGGGTGCAGCCCCCCAGATAAATTTTGAGAAATGGGTGTTTTAGACGACATTCGGCATTAAATAAATTTGTTGGACAGCAATAAATTGGGACTGAAAAGAATCAAGTACTCACTTAAATTTGGTAACACAACAGCAATTTGCATTCTCCAATTAGAATTTACGATTTTCATTTACTCAGGCCTCATTTTCTGAAGATTTGTTCCTAGTTTTTATAGTTCATATTACTCAGGGGAGGTAATATGTAATGGAACAGTGCTAGGAAAGCTCCACGGGATGTTAATTTTTTTTTGTAAAACTTGGTTTCGAGATAGCAGTTGACCAACAAACTAGGATCGGTGACCAAACTTTTGAGGGGGTCCCCGACCCCAACCGCCAAACGGTGCCCGCGGGGCAGCCACGCCCATATTTGGTTCAAATTAGGCCCAATTTAGCCAAATACCCTGAACATGCCAAAAACCCAGATTTTAGGTGCTCTACTTGTAGCTAGTGGTCCCCTGAACAAGTATATGAATTTTCATCAAGATTGGGCAAAAAATGACTGAGTTATGAGCCAAAAACCATATGACCATATTTGGGCATACGCACCAAATTTGATCGATTTTGGCCCATAAATTGGTCAAATATCAATATTTTTGAATGAAACCAACTTTATATGAAAGGTAAGCTTATACTACACATTCTCTATGATTATCAGCTCAGTATCTACCTAACTGTGGATTCTGTGTTCAAATAATCACAAAAAATGAACTAAATCGTCCATATCTCAGTTCGCGATATTTGCAAAACTGATTTCGCTCAAAACAATAGAACTCAATAGGGTTTCAATATTTTTACATGAAATTTTCAGAATCAACGTAGAATCGCATTTCGACCTTATCTCTTGTATTGAAATTTTGAGTTAGGCCTTTAAAAAAATTTGGCGGCCAAATTCTGAAAAATGCCTGGCAAATTTTGGAATTTGGCCGCCAAATTTTTTTAAAGGCCTAACTCAAAATTTCAATACAAAAGATAAGGTTGAAATGAGATTCTACGTTGATTCTGAAAATTTCATGTAAAAATATTGAAACCCTAATGAGTTCTATTGTTTTGAGCGAAATCAGTTTTGCAAATATCGCGAACTGAGATATGGACGATTTAGTTCATTTTTTGTGATTATTTGAACACAGAATCCACAGTTAGGTAGATACTGAGCTGATAATCATAGAGAATGTGTAGTATAAGCTTACCTTTCATATAAAGTTGGTTTCATTCAAAAATATTGATATTTGACCAATTTATGGGCCAAAATCGATCAAATTTGGTGCGTATGCCCAAATATGGTCATATGGTTTTTGGCTCATAACTCAGTCATTTTTTGCCCAATCTTGATGAAAATTCATATACTTGTTCAGGGGACCACTAGCTACAAGTAGAGCACCTAAAATCTGGGTTTTTGGCATGTTCAGGGTATTTGGCTAAATTGGGCCTAATTTGAACCAAATATGGGCGTGGCTGCCCCGCGGGCACCGTTTGGCGGTTGGGGTCGGGGACCCCCTCAAAAGTTTGGTCACCGGTCTTAGTTTGTTGGTCAGCTGCTATCTCGAAACCAAGTTTCACAAAAAAATCAGGGTGAACCCCCCCCCCCCCCCTTAAGGTTAACCTAAAGTTTTCTAAGATAAAAACCACTTTACGCCGAATGGCTTGCAAATTTTAACACTGAAATGCAGGACCGGGGTAGTTTGATTAAAAAAAAGATTTCCATAAAGCTATAAATGTTTAAGCATGGACTATTTGATGTACGAAAACCCATTTGATGAAGATGATATGTGATATTAGACACTTGCACTGATCATGTACACATATTTTAATATTTTTACTGCTTAACGACTGCTTTTCTTACTTACTGTATAAAAAATGGATTTATAAATCATTTGCTGAAATAAAAAACGTTACAAAAAATGAAAAAAATTCGGATTTTTGATGATTTTGAATGCCTTTTAGCGTTCATATTAATGTCCGTTCATATTAATGTCCGTTCATTTAATGTCCGTCCAAATAAGGTCCGATCATAAGGTAGTTATTGTGCCAAAATTACATTAGCGTAATCATTTGGAAACCCCCCTCCCCCTCGGGCCCCGGCTGATTACGTAATATGTGAACGATCCCTAAGTTCATTGCTGCATAATTCTGTATTATTTGATGGAAGTTTCAAATCAATTCATTTCCTTTGCCGGTTGCCTTAAGAACGGTTTTAGAAAACAGAAATTTGACTGTAAAATAGTTCTTTAAGACCCCAATTTTATTATTAATAAGGATTAAGGCAAGATAAATTAATATTATTTTCTACTGTTTTGTCATCATGCCTGATCAGGTTCCTGTTATATGGAACGTATGTTACCCTAATATTAAGCTTCTGAAAGACTTGATTTTTTACCAGTAGTAGTACTAGTAGAGACAAATATTTATCATGTAAATAAAAAATGCGAAGAATCTAGAAGTAATTCTTCTGGTGGGTCAGCATGGTCTATTGTCATCCAATCTAGAAGTAAATGATATCAAAAAATGCGAGGAATCTAGGAGTAGATGTTATCAAAAAATGCGAGGAATCTAGAAGTATAAGAGTATAGGGGTAGATCAGATCAGAGCGCAGTAAATGGAGGGTGAAATTGAATCAATAAATCCCTAGCTTCCTGAACAAAGGGTTTATCAGTGTCGGTTCCCGGAAAGATATATAAAGATATAATTGTAATTTTATTCAGATGTCTAGGTTGGCAATTTAACTGGATCAGTGGATGTCACTGAGTCTAAAAAACTTGCAAACAAGTTAGAGACAGAGGGGTGACGTGTCTTTGACTTGATCGCTGAGGACGGAAAGGTCGCCCATTTTTATTGTAGTGCTGTTTTATTTTTACTAACTGCTCCTTTTATAATGCTGTATCAAATAAGGTTTATCATACGCAACATATATCTTGAAATGAACAAATAGTGAAATAGTGAATTACATCACTTTCATTATTTCATTTATGTATTTCTATTATATGTCGCTAATAGGTATTGTCTTTTTAAAATTTTCAAATATGATTGTTACCGTGCAGTAAATAAACATGAATTGTCCTGTGGGAAACTTTATTATTGAGGCCAGAATGACTGTAATTGAGCATCCATGGATGTCCAGGCACCTGGAACAGGCTCACTTATCAGCTGAGTGACAAATATGTTGAAGCTATAGTGTCATCTTGACCTGATTTTTCTTCAGCAGTGCCATCATCCTTTTATTATGATCCAATTTGTGTTACTGTATCTTTACTTACTTTAAGTATGCTCACTGTTCTACTTTTAGATAGGAGACAAACAAAAAAAGAAAACCCCCTCTAAGAAAAAGTGGAAATGATTCATTTAGTGGCAGTGATGCTAATTCTTGCATCCTTGGACCAAGCAAAATCAGGTAACGAATTTATTTATTTAGTCAGCTTATGGGCCTATCTTAAATAAAATCAATTAAAGTTCATATTTCTGTTTCTTATAAATTCAAAAATGTAGTTCTAAGGAGCAGTGCTCCAAAATTTCACTGTTCAGGGTCTCGTCTTCCCGTCTTCCCGTCTTCCCGTCTTCCCGTCTTCCCGTCTTCCCGTCTTCCCGTCTTCACGTCTTCCCGTCTTCCCGTCTTCCCGTCTTCCCGTCTTCCCGTCTTCCCGTCTTCCCGTTTTCCCGTCTTCCCGTCTTCCCGTCTTCCCGTCTTCCCGTCTTCCCGTCTTCCCGTCTTCCCGTCTTCCCGTCTTCCCGTCTTCCCGTCTTCCCGTCTTCCCGTCTTCCCGTCTTCCCGTCTTCCCGTCTTCCCGTCTTCCCGTCTTCCCGTCTTCCCGTCTTCCCGTCTTCCCGTCTTCCCGTCTTCCCGTCTTCCCGTCTTCCCGTCTTCCCGTCTTCCCGTCTTCCCGTCTTCCCGTCTTCCCGTCTTCCGTCTTCCCGTCTTCCCGTCTTCCCGTCTTCCCGTCTTCCCGTCTTCCCGTCTTCCCGTCTTCCCGTCTTCCCGTCTTCCCGTCTTCCCGTCTTCCCGTCTTCCCGTCTTCCCGTCTTCCCGTCTTCCCGTCTTCCCGTCTTCCCGTCTTCCCGTCTTCCCGTCTTCCCGTCTTCCCGTCTTCCCGTCTTCCCGTCTTCCCGTCTTCCCGTCTTCCCGTCTTCCCGTCTTCCCGTCTTCCCGTCTTCCCGTCTTCCCGTCTTCCCGTCTTCCCGTCTTCCCGTCTTCCCGTCTTACCGTCTTCCCATTTCTTGTCTTCCCGTCTTCCCGTCTTCCCATTTCTTGTTTTCCCTACAGGGTGTACCGTATAAAGTGTGACTTTTTTCCACTTTAATAGTTTTTGACAGAATTAAACTTCACGGTTATATTTAACTAAATTTTGTATCACTAAAATAAATTCAAACACTACGTATAAGTTAAATTTAAATGGACCAATTATCAATTTATTTATGAAAACAACTCCCCATCAGATCCCAAGGTGAGCGGCTGGGATGACGAAGACTGGATAGCTGCAGACACAATCACCAACAATTACGGAACTAGTGATTATTATAATCAAACTGGAAATGTAGATAGTGCGGGAATACAATTTAAAACTGATAGCGTTTTAGGCGAAGATGATCACATAAATGTTTTTTTTCTGAACAAGGATGATCAAGAAACCGGAATGTTCTATATTCAATTTAAAGATGCGATGGTCATACATCCAAACGGCTGCCTGGCTTCAGGCACAGCAAAATTGTCCGCAGCCGTACCGAGTGAAAATGAAAAGATCTGGACCGTTTCCTTTAACGACGAACTAAGGCTAACAATAGATGTCAATGGGGTCATTCTTTACAACTTTTTGATGTCAGAATGTACAGCACGGTGGTGGACAAATAATTGGAAAATAGGCACAGTATCCATAGATATTGAATCAAGAGATTCCAAGGATATAGTACTGGACGGTTACAGGGCTTTCTCAAAAGATGGTAAGTCTAACTTAAACTATATCATGTATATATGATATGAATTACTATACCTTATCGGACCTTATTTGGACGGACATTAAATGAACAGACATAATCATGAACGGACATTAATATGAACGCTAGAAGGCATTCAAAACATAACCATCAAAAATCCTCATTTTTTTCATTTTATTAAAAGTTTTTTATTTCAGCAAATGATTTTAAATCCATTTTTATACAGTAAGTAAGAAAAAAAAGTCGTTAAGCAGCAAAAACGTTAAAATATGTGTACATGATCAATGTCTTATATCACATATCATCTTCATTAAATGGGGTTTCGTGCATGAAATAGTCCATGCTTAAAGCATCAGTGATTTTTAGCTTTATGGAAACCTTTTTTTATCAAACTACCCCGGTCCTGCATTTAAATTTTCAGTGTTAACTTTTACAAGCCATTCGGTGTGAAGTGGTTTTATCCTAGAAATTTGAGGTTAACCTTAACATCACAAGGAGCTTTCATATCACTGTTTCATTACCTCCCCTGAGTAATATGAACTACATATATAACAACGTCGGACAATTTCCATGTCAATTGTCAACACGATTTACCGTAATATCTAGAGGCTGGAACAAGTTTGTCATGTTGGCGGGGACTAGCTCATGAACTACCTTATCGGACCTTATTTGGACGGACATTACTTGAACGGACATAAGTGTGAACGGACATTAATATGAACGCTAGAAGGCAATCAAAACCATCAAAAATCTGAATTTTTTCATCTTTTTTTACGTTTTTTAAATTTTAGCAAATGATTTTTAAATCCATTTTTCATACAGTAAGCAAGAAAAGCAGTCTTTAATCAGTAAACATGTTAAAATATGTGTACATGATTATTGTCTTATATCACATATCATCTTCATCAAATGGGTTTTCGGGCATTAAATATTCCATGCTTAAAGTTAAAGCATCAGTAATACCCGCTTTTTGGAAACATTTTTTTTATCAAACTACCTCGGTCCTGCATTTCAGTGTAAACTTTTACCACCCATTCAGCGTGAATTAGTTTTATATTAGACAACTTAAGGTTAACCTTAACATCACGTGGAGCTTTCCCAGCACTTATTTGTTTCATTACCTCCCCTGAGTAATATGAACTATAACAACGTCGGACAATGTCCTTGGCAACACGATTTACCGTAATATTTAGAGGTTGAAATGTGAAACAAGTTAGTCTTGTTGGCGGGAACTAGCTCATAAACTATGTTGTTGAGTTCTATAATTTCGTTGACTTTTTCCGTCAAGTGACCCTTGAAAACATCATATACTAGAAAAGTTTTCTGTGCCTCCGGCAGACCAAGGAGAACCTTTTCGTCGTTAACATACGACACTATGATGTTCTCGATAAAACAATTATTGTCGTATATTCATTTACCCAATTATTCTCGTTAAAAATAACCTCAAAAGCTCAAAGTCTTTCGGAAATGTATATTTAGGAATAAAAAAGTGATTGCTTTGTTTTTCCCTCGTAGATTTAATTATGGGCAAACAAATTTAGATCAAGATAGTGATCATGCTATTAAATTGACTGAAATTAAAAGTTGTCATATTCTGGACAAAAAGTTCGAAATGGAAAAATTTTTGAAAAACATTCAACGGACTTTAACTTGGACGGACATTAATTGAACGGACTTTGTTTGAGCGGACATTAAGGTGAACGCTAGGACCTCCAGAATGAAATGCAACTATTGTATGTGAACACCACCCGCACACACTTTGACACTTATCCAATATTCAAATAAAAGCGAACCATCCCTAAAAGGGTACTTCGAATCTTAAGCTGCTTGCCAGCGGCTGAAACTTGCAACTATAAAAGTATAAATACTTGACTAAACTCGACTATACTTGCAGAAGATTGTGTTGCGGGCCAGTCTCTGGATCAGTCAACTGGCTGTCAACCCTGTCCGGCAGATGAATGGAGTTTAGCAGCAAACGCAGCTTCTACCTGCACGGCATGTCCAGCTGGCAAAGGGGTAGCCGCTGGATCAGGAACATCACAAAGTGCCTGCACATGGAGTAAGTTGTTGTTTCCTAAAAATTGGAGAGACCGAAGGGGTTCATCCTGAAATTTATGTTAATCTTAGAAAATAGAAATGCAATAATGTGTGCGAATAAACATTAATAGACTGAAATACTGACGTCAACAAGCAAAGTTTAGTATTTGTACAATAATTGGTATTACTATACGTTTATGAGGTCCCATCACAGATGCTCGAAAGGAATTCCTGTGAATGAAATGCAACTATTGTATGTGAACACCACCCGCACACACTTTGACACTTATCCAATATTCAAATATAAAAAGCGAACCATCCCTAAAAGGGTACTTCGAATCTTAAGCTGCTTGCCAGCGGCTGAAACTTGCAACTATAAATACTTGACTAAACTCGACTATACTTGCAGAAGATTGTGTTGCGGGCCAGTCTCTGGATCAGTCAACTGGCTGTCAACCCTGTCCGGCAGATGAATGGAGTTTAGCAGCAAACGCAGCTTCTACCTGCACGGCATGTCCAGCTGGCAAAGGGGTAGCCGCTGGATCAGGAACATCACAAAGTGCCTGCACATGGAGTAAGTTGTTGTTTCCTAAAAATTGGAGGGACCGAAGGGGTTCATCCTGAAATTTATGTTAATCTTAGAAATGCAATAATGTGTGCGAATAAACATATTAGACTGAAATACTGACGTCAACAAGCAAAGTTTAGTATTTGTACAATAATTGGTATTACTATACGTTTATGAGGTCCCATCACAGATTCTCGAAAGGAATTCCTGTGAATGAAATGCAACTATTGTATGTGAACACCACCCGCACACACTTTGACACTTATCCAATATTCAAATAAAAGCGAACCATCCCTAAAAGGGTACTTCGAATCTTATGCTGCTTGAGTGCCATAATTTCGTTGACTTTTTTCCGCCAAGTGACCCTTGAAAACATCATAAACTAGTAGAATTTTCTGTGCCTCCAGCAGACCAAGGAGAACCTTTCCATCGTTAACTTACGGCACAATAAAGTTCTCAAAGTTGTCATATTCTGGACAAAAGTTCGAAATGGAAAAATTTTCTAAAAAATTTTAACGGACTTTAACTTGGACGGACATTAATTGAACGGACTTTATTTGAACGGACATTAAGATGAACGGTAGGGCCTCCAGCGTTCAAGTAATGTCCGTCCAAATAAGGTCCGATAACGTATGCTGTTGAGTGCCATTAAATAATAATTTTGTTGACTTTTTCCGCCAAGTGACCCTTGAAAACATCATATAGTACTAGTAAATTTTTCTGTGCCTCCGGCAGACCAAGGAGAACCCTTCCTCATACATTACAAGACATATTTATAACGTACGAAATGTGGCGGTTTTCCGAAAATTTCGCCATATTTTCGGACCGCCAAAATTTCGGTCGTCGTAATAGAATCCGTCGCATTATCTTTTAGCTTATTTCAATGACTGTGCCTTCACTGCTTTATTTTGTTTCTAAAAAGTAAAATAAATAAATAAATTCTGGCATCTTGGGACAAATTATCACCACACCAATGACGAATTGAATGTTAAGCAATACAGTTTAAATTTGCATTAAAATACATGTATGTGCTAACATGAAAGTCTTACAGTCTTAATACAGACTAAGTTTGAACATGATTTTACCGAATTTCAGAAATTTCCTTACTGCTTACTGTCACAAAAAATGATGAAAAATACCCTTATTTTCTGTGACGTCCGAAATTTGACGGTTTTTGTTCAATTTCGCCATATTTTCGGACCGCCAAAATTTCGGTCGTCGCAAATTGGTCCGCCACAAAAAAGTCTTGTAAGGTAGTCATATTCTGGACAAAAAGTTGGAAGTGCAAAAATGTTTGAAAAAAATCAACGGACTTTAACTTGGACGGACCTTAAATGAACGGACTTTATTTAAACGGACATTAAGATGAACGTTAGGGGCTCCAGCGTTCATTTAATGTCCGTCCAAATAAGGTTCGATAATGTAGACTGTAAAGTGTAGACGGCGCATTTGTAACCAATTGCACCATGCATGCAGTCGGTTAATACTATCGAATAAATAAGTTTATAACAGCGGAAACAATTCAAACGACAATTTGGCACCAACCACCCCCACCCACCCCCCATTAAGTTGCCTGAAAGATGTTTATGAATTTAGTTGTTTTTCTAGAATGACGGTAATCTCCTTCAGAGGATGACGATACGAAGACCAATAATGAAGATAATCACAACTTGTCAGATGCTGGATATAGCATGACGATCAGTACAATTCTATTTGGTACTTTGCTATGTGCAATAAACATGATTTACTAAAAGTCACGTTGAAAATGTTTGAACACCGTAATTATAAAACAAATAAAGACGAATATGGATGAATATGGACGGATATGGCCAATATGCATGCATGCATGATCCAATCTATCATTATATAATCATAGCCATACTAGAGCTCTAGATTTAAACATTAAATGTGTAGCTTTCAGTTTCCTAATAAAACCGTATTGGAAAATTTATGGAATTTAAAATATCAATAATTTTAAACGAAAAACATTTTATTTTAAATATTTTTAAGATCCATACCACATCTTATTGTGGCTTAATATTTGGTACATTTGTATTCTACAGTATATATGGGTATTGGGCATATACTACTACAGTATATATGAATTAATTATACTTATAGCGTTTCTGTTCATGTTTATTGCCCAGCTATTTTTTTACAATTAAATAAGACATTAGTGCGACACCAGAAGCTACAATTACAGGTATTTCACCCAAAGCTTTGTTTTCAGCATGATTTGTGCTTGGGCCTGGGTAGATCGTGTTATTTTAGTTATTATCTATATCATATCATCTTTTGTAGCCATTTTCCTTACGTGTTCACATGTCATAATCAATAATCATGTATTTTAGTGACTATAATATTTTCTAACACGCATTAATAATCTACTTTCAGCATATTTTCACCTCACAAGCATAATCATTGTCACCTAGATTGCACTGCACTTTTAATTAGTCCTTTCACGTGCCACATCACAACTGCAAAACATCCAATCATTTAATAAGCTTCATACCTCATGTTTGTAATTTATTTGTCACGTGCCTTTACATTTATATAGCTATATAGGAAAGTTAAGAATCACCTGGCAGTTCATTTTTAATCCTTCTCTTTTAAGTTATCGAGTATACTATTCGGATTCCTTTCTCGTAAATACTCTATTTCTCTTATTCCAAAGAGTTTCAATTCTAATTGAAGTTCCCTAAAACATGAACAGTTCGAAAATTTCTGGCGCGACCCTATGACTTACCCCTTTAGGTTTAATGGTTATTAATTAATTGACGATTGTAAGGAACCTCTAAATTCTATATTAATTTCAATCTTCCTTTAAAGATAGTTAAGGGGGCATACACCAAAACAGTGGTTTGTGCCGTCCAGACCAAATGACCTCATAGGCAGTTTAGTGACCTTCTAGCGCACCGTTTCCACACCAAAAAAAATTATTTTGAGAATATCCATTTTTGTAATCGAGCATTTCCTGGTTAGAGTGGAATTTTCGGAAAAACACAATTTGTTTCGTGGAGAGGTTATAAGTTAATCATTTCTTGCGGTATCGGGTTGAAATTTTGCTCGCCGTCTATTCACATCTATTTCAAGGTGTGTGTAAAATCTTGATATCGTATCTAAAAAGGCTGGTGTGTTATAAATTTTTTAAGTTAAAAAAAGTCAACAAGTTGAAATTGTCCTTTTCAGACTTATTTTAACCAAAAAGTCAGTCAGGGAAGATCGGATTGATTTGATGGTTGACATGAACTTGTTCTCTGAATTCTGGCGCAGTTTTTGATGCCCTCAAAAATGTTTTTACTCATTTGTCTTCAGATCTATTGGACTTCAAAGCCAAACAACAAATTTAGGCACATTTTTCGTTTTTCATATTTACTGATTTTTCTAAAATTTTGATAGGAATGTGCTAGTGACTTTTTGAAGGACGCAAAATAACCGCAACTAGTACATTTATATATGAGTTGTGAACAACAAAACAACCTAAAATGCTTCCCTTTAAAGTTATGGGAGAAAATGTGATTTTTTGGCTTTGCAGATAAAAAATCACATTTTCTCCAATAACTTCAAAGTGAAGCATTTTAGGGTGTTTTGTTGTTCATAACTCATATATAAATGTGCTAATTGCAGTTATTTTGCACCCTTCAAAAAGTCACTAGCACATTCCTATCAAAATTTTAGAAAAATCAGTAAATATGAAAAACGAAAAATGTGCCTAAATTTGTTGTTTGGCTTTGAAGTCCAATAGATCTGAAGACAAATGAGTAAAAACATTTTTGAGGGCATCAAAAACTGCGCCAGAATTCAGAGAACAAGTTCATGTCAACCATCAAATCAATCCGATCTTCCCTGACTGACTTTTTGGTTAAAATAAGTCTGAAAAGGACAATTTCAACTTGTTGACTTTTTTTAACTTTAAAAATTTATAACACACCAGCCTTTTTAGATACGATATCAAGATTTTACACACACCTTGAAATAGATGTGAATAGACGGCGAGCAAAATTTCAACCCGATACCGCAAGAAATGATTAACTTATAACCTCTCCACGAAACAAATTGTGTTTTTCCGAAAATTCCACTCTAACCAGGAAATGCTCGATTACAAAAATGGGTATTCTCAAAATATTTTTTTTTGGTGTGGAAACGGTGCGCTAGAAGGTCACTGAACTGCCTATGAGGTCATTTGGTCTGGACAGATTTGGTGTATGCCCCCTTAAATGACTTAGGTTTATAGTTAATAACCATTTGCATAGAAGATAGATAGTAAATTTGTTAACGATAGAAGTATACCAGAAATGGAATATACGTTGACGTTTAATTAACAAAAGGACACTTTCTGTGAGAAAACTAACAAATAATTCGACACACTTGATGAGTTACCACGGACTTATGGAGGGGTTAATGAGGATTGAGGAACACCAGACCAGCATATCACAAGACGAAGCGTGACGAGAAATGATTAGCAGTGGAGGTTAAACAATGAGGAGCAATCTCGATCTTGATGAACAATTCCATTCCATTTATCTTAGATAAATTATCCTTCATAATTGCCTATCGTTCTGCCATCTTAAATCCTCTTAAGAGTAATTTGCACGATTCTTTGATTATTTTCTATCCAAATTCCAAGGTTTCCGGGTAGAAGTAAGCTAACGACGATAAGATTCCGATCTCCCTCTCACTTGAAGGACCTTAGGACCATTATACGGATTGAAGTTGTTCTCGAGGTAAAATCCTTTTCCATTAGTTTTTACATAAGTAGGTTTAAGAATATAGTTGGTAATCGTAGTTCCGTGCTCTCAAAATTATATACTTTGTACAAAATTACGTTTCCGTTCCCAGGTAGAGAGACACGAACACTCCTGCTCAGACCGTGCTGCCTTTGCCGATACCTGCTAGATTGATTGATTCTCCTTCGTCAGGGGCGGGAAACATAAATTTCCCAATAGCATACACTAGACCAGAAATAGCTGAATAATATTAATAATATATTGTCATCTTTATTACTGAATATACATCTAAATAATAATTTCAAGTTTTTTTTAACGCGCCTTTGTGCGAATGGTCGCTCAACCAGTAGTACAGAGTTGTTATTTATGAAGGAATAATTCCGTATTATTATATAAGGAGGGGCGCACTAGAAGTAGAAGACAGTCACATTATTCAACATTCAACCACAAAAACTAAGTTGTTATTGTCGAAGATAATCTTTAGGTTCGGTTTTTGTAATGACAATGCATTGATGTTTTTTCCATTTTAAAACGGTCAACCACAGCTCGGGATTAATATTCACTTTAGGACTTTTCGGGGGCGTTCAGCGTTCTAATAGTGTCCACAAACATGAACATTTTTACTGTGACACTGGACACTAAGAATTGTTTAATTTCAAATCTATCTGTTTAACAGATTCTGTTATTTTTTGAGTCGACAAATATCGCAACTAGTCGCATTTACTTTTAGAAATATTGACGGACATGTTACTCGTCTAAATTTCTTCGAATTAGCGCGCGCCGCTTTCTTCTCTTTCTTGCCCGACGACGGCAAGTGCTACGAAGTAGCACGCGCCGCCCGACGCCCGACGGTCCTAATATATGGAACAAATATTTTACGAGTATCACCCGTTAAGCGGCGGATCATACTTATACAACGTATGACAAGTAAAAAGGTAATTGACGATGTCAATTCTTCGCAGCTAGTAGGTAGTGCGCCATCGACAGTGAGCCGCGCGTGCCGACTGTAGGATGGTTTTTTAGCGCTAATTTCGGCCAGCACAATTTTCTTCAAACAAATAAATATTAAGTATCCTTCCCGACCTCCGATTGCAACAAAAATTGGTAAGCTTACTCATAGATTTACAAGGAAGGTGTCCGAAAAGTTTAAAGCATATCCAACCATCAGACATTATGTTACAGCTAAAAGCAGCGTATTTTGCACCATTTTGATCACTAAATCAACTCCGATATCCACCAAATTTTTCGGACAGTTGTGAAAGCCCTATTGGAAGGTCGTCGCCAATTTTTAGAATGATCTCATTCAAGGAACTGAAGATATATCCAAATAATACGACAAAAATCAACGAATTTGGTCAAATTTGGTCAAATTACGCGACTTTTACAGCTAATTTTGCTCCAAAAGCCGCGCACCATCAAATATGGCACCTAGGCGAAACTCACTGATCTTTCCAAAAAGGTATGAAAAATTTGGTATTGTGAAAATTCTCACAGTCTCTAGAAAACAATGGTACAAAAATTTTTAAAATCCGAGCAAGTTTATTTTTATGGTGCACCTCCTACAGCTAGAGCTCGGCGATTCACAGTAGCACATTCCGCCGATCTAAGGATGATGATTAATCACTTTACACTTGTAGGTTTATAACCTACCAGGACACGCGCCGAGTTGGACTCGTCGACGCCCGACGGTCCTAATATATGGAACAAATATTTTACGAGTATCACCCGTTAACTTTACACTTGACTGTCACGTGACTTTTTCAATTGGTTCTCTAGAGCTGGCCCTGGGCCTGAACGACTATTCGAAACAGCTTAACACTATAGTAATTGAATCTTATCCCAACCCTAACCCTTACCTAATCCCTCCACTGCAGTTCACATAGCCATGTGTATACGCGTACTGCGTGACGCGCTTGTTTCACAAGTGAGTTAGCGAGAGGGCTCTGGTTAGAGCAACCTAATCCTTGTATCACGTGGTGACCCCCACTGTCGCTTCACTATCGAGTTTCGACGATACAGGGGGAGCCGCGCACTCGTGCGCGGCGGGTCATACAACGTATGACAACCTTGACAACATACGTTGCATGCCACTTTTCGCGCGCGAAGCCGTAACATGTATCACTGACATGTATCAATGACAACCTAATCCCTTGTAGCGCTATGCATTGATTCACGATGTCAATCCTTCGCATCTCGCCGATCTACATGTGGTTGCGAGAAGCATTATTGGATGCGCGCGCGCGACCCAGTAGTGCATCGCGCTACAACGCTATGCACTACTGCGTTGCTGGGCCGCGCCGCGCATCTTCTCGCAGATCGGCGAGATGCGAAGGATTGACATCGTGAATCAAACTAATCCCTAATAAAAGCATATGCTGAAACCTTGACGGATGTTACTCGTCTAAATTTCTTCGAAGTAGCGCGCGCCGCTTTCTTCTCGAAATGTTGATGATGGCAAGTGCTACGAAGTAGCGCGCGCCGGGCCAGATCATATTTAACAATGGTCAACAGGAAGCTCATTATTGGATGCGCGGCGCGACCCAGTAACGCATCGCGCTACAAAGTAAAAAATAGAGTTTTACCTAGTTTGCTAGTTTATTAAGGGGCCATTAAGCTAAGGTAATCAAAATTTATAACGGAAAACAATTTAAATTTGATTGCCATTACAACATATTAATATCATAATAAATATAAGTTTACCTAAGGACCCCAGGCTATTATGTTCATTAACAATAAAGATTTGGCGGAATGACAGGCTGAGCGCGGCCCAATAAATATAAGTGAACATCCGATAATAAACTTGTATATATATTATATTAGAACCAAAATCCTCGACTAAGAAGTAACAAATAAAAAACTATAAACTAGCAGGTTCAAGGTCCTTCAAAAATCAAATTTTGTAATAAAAGGAACCTGTGGGCCGAGAACACTGAATTAAAT